CCGGGCGCCTCGCCGCGGGGCAGGGGCCCGCTCCCCCGCGGCCGGCTCCCCGGGGACAAAAGGTGGCGGCGGCCGCGCGGCCCGGCCCGGTTCCTGCGGGGCGGCCCTGGAGCGCGTACCGGGAGCGGCGTGATCGGCCTGGGGTGCCCGCACCCCGCTCCGTGTCCCCGTGGTACCGGGAACGGGGTGTCCGTCGTGGGGTACCGGGACACAGGGTGCTTGTCCTGGGGGGCCGGATGTGCATCCTGCGGTAGCGGGACTGGGGTGTCCATCCGGTGCTACTGGGGCTTGTTCCTGGGGTTCCAGGAACGGGGTGTTCGTTCAGGGAGGCCAGGACACAGGATGGTTATTCCCGGGGTCCCAGGACTGGGGTGTCCATCCAGGGATACCGGGATGAAGCATCTGTATCCCTGGACTCTCAGTGTTGGGGTGTCCATCCTGGGATATTGGGACACAGGGTGCATATCCCTGGGATCCTAGAGTTGGGATATCCATCCAGGGATATCGGGACGCAAGCTGCGTGTCCCTGGGGTACCAGATTGGCATATCCATCCAGGGATATCGGGACACAGGCTGCGTGTCCCTGGGGTACCAGATTGGGATATCCATCCAGGGATATCGGGACACAGGCTGCGTGTCCCTGGGGTACCGCCACCCCGGTGCTCATCGCTGGGGTCCGAGGCCTCCCCGCGCTCGCAGCCGCACACCGTTTGTGACACTGCATTCCAGCCTCCGGAACCGGCCCCAGCTCCAAGCGCCCGGCCCCGCTTTTGTGGCCTCCCCCCGTGACAGCGGCCGCCAGCACGGGGCACCTTGGGGCAGAGGTTCCCCCACCCCGGACGGGCTCCCGCCTGTGAAATCCGCTGCTTGCAGCGATCCGATGCGAAGATATTCCGTCTCATTAGCGTCGGATGCCGCGCGTTTATCGTGGCTCTACGCGATTTGAGTGTTCCCAGCGTAATCTGCAGCGTGAGATCTGTCACAGGGGGAACAAAACGTCTCCTGCTCTCCCCTTTGCCTCTTTGAGGATATAGTGTTTCAGAGTCGCACGGCTGATGCTTTCAGAGTGCGCTTATCAGGACTCTCAAGTTAATTCCAGCTTTAATTCAGCGTCCTCTTTCTTATTTGTAGAAAGGGCCATCTCAGCATGTCCTTTTGACGAGACAATTGAAGAAAGTCCAAGGAAGCGGTTAGGAGAGAGCGAATATCTTGGCTAGGCCCGAGTTACGTCCATCATCTCTGAGCTGAAGCCCCAGCTAGTAACTCTCGCAGGTCATTTTCCTGTAGAAATGGCAGTTGTTGAATTTGACGTCTGAGAATATTTTTATTAGACTGTACCTTTGGGAAATTAATTCCAGATCTTTTCAGGAAGAGCGAGGTTAGCTATTTTTAGAAAGGTTAAGAAATAGCAGAAGCAGCGCGGACACTTCTGTGAGGTTTGTTCATGCTCACACAATAGCTGAGTCCTTGCACCTACCTATATATAAGCACAGCAAAAAAATCCCTCTGGAATCCTGACACTTTAAATGCTTACTGTTGCAAGCATGTTTGGAATACTTTTTTTTTTCTTTCCCTCAGAAATGTAGGATGAGGGTGTTGGAATTGCTGTAATGCTGTCAGCACTATGATGGTAAATTCCTTCTCTTGAATGTGGAACAGAGAAGGGAATTATTAACTCACATTGCTGTACAGCAATCTTAACATAGTTTATGCCTGGATAGAAATGTGCAAATCCTTCGTGTAATCTTTTCCAAGGGTTGCTCGAAGAAAAGTGTCTTTTTCTTATCACAAATGTGAGTTGCAAGAGCTTTTGTTAATCAGTTTCTTGTAATTCTCGCTTCCTTCCAACAAAATTTGAAACATCTTAACAGGAAGAACATTAAATACAAAAGTGTGAAGAAACACATTCATATTGCAGAGATTTATTTGTCTGTTTTCAGTGCACTCAGCAAGCTAACTGCTTACATGCTTTCGGTTGCATAGCATATGATTTTCCAGAGCAGCACCTGTGTGGGCTTTTAATGTGTGTTTATCCTCCTATTGATATTGCCTCTAACTACTAAGTACACGCTTTAAGATAAATTACAAATATGGACTTGTTTGCAGTTACAGCATCAACAAATTCAGTAGTAATTTATTGCACTCACATGTTGTGATGCTGCTATTTTTTTTTCTTTTATCACAGCTGAAGTCTCAAGAAAACGTAAGTTTATTTGGAAAACTTTATGCAATAGCACTTTGGCCTCTTTCACAATAAACTATATTCTCTGTTTCTTTAGCAGCTCCACGAGAGCACATTCTTTCAGTAAATGAGTTTGGTTTCCTGAATGATGTCATTTCTGCTACAACACCTGTGATAACTGAATAAATCTAACTGGACTGACAGGGCATCATGATTTTTATATATGGTCTATAGATATTATATCTGATTTAGTTACTGATTGACAAAATTCTGTGATCTGTGCTGCTTAGGCAGTTGGGGAATAGGGTCATAATAGTTCCTCTTGCCTTTCAGTGCATATTGTTTTGATCAGGGCTTTTCTCCCTGAAGAGATTGCACTTGTTAGAGTCCAGAGTTTGTCATTCCAGGTATGCAGGAAGCAACTGAAGAGTCCTTCATAAATGTTAGGAAAAATAAATTTATGAAGAAGCCCTTGGGGAGAAAAAAATCATGGACTAAATTCAGTGGAGGTTAATTCTGTTCTGTCTTAAGAAAATAAATAGTCATACTCGAGAGTCCAGACTGCAGGATCATGTTGTCACAGTGGACTGATCCTCACGTGATGCTCCTTGAATTGGTGAAAGTAGGAAGGGCTCCTACTGAATGAGCTCTAAAAATGTGAAGTGGAGCTACCTCCCCGACTAGAAAGTGAGTATATTAAGTAAATATCTAAAGCAGGGGGCAAGACGTTGTTTAAACATACTACAGATATTAGAGATGAAGGGAACAAGCTCTCGCTGCCAACAATGTG